GATCATATTTCATGGACATAAATTCAAATTCTTAAACTTGGGTGCAAAATCAGCTTCTCAAGTCAAGATGAGAGAAGTATGTCTAGGGGCAGCTAGGTGGCGCAGTGGATAGAGCACCAGCCCTGGATTCAGGAGGACCTGAGTTCAAATCCGGCCTCAGACACATAACACTTACTAGCTGTGTGACCTTGGGCAAGTCACTTAACCCCATTGCCTAACCAAAAAAAAAAAAAGAGAGAGAGAGAGAGAAGTATGTCTAGATAGCAACTAATATCTTGAAAAAGGATTTAGGAGATTGGTTGGATGACAAGCTCTATATATGACCTCGCTGCAGAAACACAGGAATTTGGAGGACAGCCTCACTGGGGTAGCTTAGACATGGCTTATTTTTAATGGGCCCATGCTATATATTAATGATTGTTGCTTCTGTTTCTAATTGCTTACAAATCATCCTTTTAGTATTGCGCTCTGGAATTTTTCCAACAATCTTAGGTATGCTTACTGCTCTGTAGTTCAAAGAATTGACATTGGTTTTCTTTTGAAAATCAGGAAAATATTTGCCTCTGTGCAGTCCTTTAATTCTTATCCTATGCTAATAGCCATTCATAGACCCCCACCAATAATGTCTTTTTTTCCAATAGTGTCTTAACAACCATCTCCACAAATTCTTTCAATGCTATGGGATGTAGTGACTTGTTGAGGACAGCTGAGTTCTCACCATTTCCTCAAGTGTCTTGGCTTTCAATTCCTCATTATCCATTTTTGTTCTATCTGCAACAATCCAAACACTATTCTCCTTGAAACTGAGTAGGTCTGACTTGGGGGGGGGGGGAATTTATTCATTTTCATCCTTCAATAATAATAATAACTAATGTTTACATATTACTTTAAGGCTTGCAATATGCTTTACATATATTATTTCATTTGATTTGTTCCAACAACCCTATGACATAGATGGTATCCCCATTTTACAGGTGAAGAAACTTAGGCTGAAAGAGTGTAAGTGAATTCCTCAGAATCACATAGCTAGTAAGTATCTGGGGAAGGTCTTGAGCTCACATCTTCCTGACTTCAAGACTGAAACTCTATCCACTGTATTACCTAGAATCCCAAGGCACAGTCCTACCTCTTCCTTGATCTCTTTCTTTACCTTCCTCTGAAATTAAAATAAATCAGAGTCAAAACTTTATTTAGACAGGTGAAGTTATCTCCCAACTTCAAATTCTATATTTAAGGTCACTAGGAAAGAAAAAACCATGTCCTGCATTCCCAAGTCTTATTTTTGGTGAGGATTTTTGTCTTGTACTTCAGGCTCTTTCCTTACCTTTTACATTGACTACAAAAATCCTCAAGAACTCTATCATCCTCCATGCCCAAAGTCATCTTTATTACTTCACTTTTAACTAAATCACCCCTTTCTCTTAGAAAAAAACCTAAGTAAACTGATATTCAGCATTATAACTTCTGGATTACAAGCTCCTTGAGGGCAGACTCAGTGTCCTATTAATCTTTATAGGGTTCCAGTACATAATGCATAACTTTGCTTACAGCAAGTGCTAAATAAATGTTAAATTGGTCATATCATATATGGTGGGAAGAGCTCTGGATGTGGAGGAGATCTGATACGTACTAGTCATGTGACCCTGGGCAAGACATTGAAACTCTCTAATACTCAATTTTTTCATTATAACATACTTACCATAACAATGTTATTGCCTATATTGCAAGGAAAATTGCAAGCTACCCAGGTCCAACATCCCTACCCCAGCAAAACCCTGAAATTCTCTTCAGACCTATTATAGATCAAGAAATCACAGTATGTGATATCTTCCACTGCAGAAATGAAAACAGAAAATGAAAATATCAGACAGAAGCCCACAGGCAATAAGAAAGAGAACAGACACAAAGCCAGTGACAGAGTAGTCAAACAAGCCGGCATATTCCCAGTATAACCAAACATGGGCACATGTAGAGACACATGTAGCTTCTGTTTGGTTGCATCAAGTATGGAAGGTCCCCTCAAGAAGGTCCGAGGGTGGTCCTTAGGGTGAGGACCTTAGAAGCCCCAGACAGCATCATGGGCCACTATACCACAGCATTGCTCAGATTGGAACAGCCTAGGAGCACTAGGACTCCAGAGTACCTAATACTTTGTCCTGAGATTCCACAGAAGGTCATAAAGATCTAATTCTCTGAACTTCAAATATCCAGAGGTCAAAACTCAAGTTGCTCAGGTTGGAACCAAGCAGAACCCAGCATTCCACTTAAGGAACTAAAGCTGAAGATATGAGTAAACCAAAGAATACCCTAAACCAGTTAAACAAAAGTCTCACAAATCTAGAGTCCTCCCCCCAACCAAAGAAGCCAAGAATAACTATAACAACTACAGGAAGAGATTCAAGGGAAAATGTCTTTTCCCACAAAGACTACATGAATGCCTAGAAGAAATATAGCAACAAATTTAAAAACTAAATTAAAATCCATGGAGAAGAGATTTGGAAGGAGAATAAATAGTTTAGGAGAGCAAATGGTATTACCCAAGTACTAGAAAACCTGAAAACTAAAATAGAATAAAAAAAATTAGTGCCTGAGGAAAAAAAGAAATATTAAAACAAAATCAAAGATTGGAAGAAAAATAGAAAATTTAATTTTTTTTAATTTATCTGGAAAACAGATGAAGGAAAACAATCATTGGACAGATTAAAACCAGGATTTAAAAAAATCCTGGGTGCTCCCTATTTCAAGAAATCATAAATACAAATGTCCCAGTTCTATTAGGACTAGTTGCTGCAATGGATATAAAACTGTAACTTGAGTCAGAAAGACCTGAGTTCAATTCTAGCTGAAAACACTTACCAGTTGTGTGACCGTGGGCAAGTCACTTAAATTTTGCAAACCTTAAAGCTCCACATAATTATGTAAATATTTTAAAAATCCATCAATCATCTCCTGAAAGGAATCCCAAAAGAAAGAGTTTCAAGAATATCATAGCCAAAATCCAAAGGCATTAAAGGAAAAAATACTTCAAGCCACCAGAAAGAAGTCATTCTAGCACTGGGGAACCTCAATAAGGAACACTCAAAACCTGGCAACTTCTACCATGAACAAGAGGAGATCTTGGGACATAATATTTTAAACATCAATAGATATAGTCTTACACACAAGAACAACTCCCCTACAAAGCTGAGTAGATTTGTAGGGGGAATGGAACAGAGTACTTTTAAGGATTTCTGACGAAAATATCAGATTTAATTTGAAATGTAAACACCACAGTCATGGATTGTGTGATGAGGTAGTGCTAACATCATATTAGGGGGATGAAGAAACAAGTGACCCTTCAGAACCTTAATATCATCAAAAGGTATTGAGAAAGTTAAATGAGAAAGTCAGGGGATCTAGCGATGGATGGATTCTGTTCTGGGGGATTGATTGGAGAGGGCAAAGGAAAAAGAAGTATACTAGTGAAGAAAGGAGAAATAAAGGAGTGGACCTATCATGTCTCATAATTGAGGAGAGAGAGAAGAAAAGCATATAAACATGGAGGAGGGAATGAGAGGAGCAGGCATCAGTTGAACCTCGTTATCTGAAACAGACAAAGGATTGAAGACAGACACAGATATATATCAAATTCAACAGAGAAATAAGTGGACATGAGAAGCAGGAAGGAAGAGAAGTGAAAGTTGAGAGAATAATCTTGAGGAAGGAATAATTGCAAGAAAAGCAAAATTCCTGATCCCAAAGTGGAGATTAAAATGGAAAAAAAAGAAGTGAGAAAACCAAAGAACTAAAATCTAAGGAGAAGCTCAACAATTGGAGAATAGCTGAATAGATTGTAGTATGTGAACTTAACAGAATTTTATTGCAATATAAAAATGCTGAAAGATATTACTTCAGAAGGTACTAGGTAATATGAACTGACACAGAGTGAAATGTGCTAAAGCAGGAAGAACAACACGAAAGGAAAACAAAAACTTTAAAGACTTAATGATCAACTATGTTCCCAGAGCACCTGCGATGCAACATGTCCCCCTTCTTGTAGAAGTATGTTGGATTCAAGATGCAGCTGTGGCCATTGTAGATTCATTTTCCTTGACTATGCTTATTTGTCATGGGGTTTTTTTTCCTCCTGTCTTCTTGCAGATTCTTGGTTGTTGTTGTTGTCATTTTTTTTTTGGGTGGGAGGACATGGTAGAAAGGGGGCTTAGAAATTGTGCTGCTGAAAAAAGGACGTTAAAACATTTTTAAATGAACTGAAGAGGCCAGTGAAGGAAGTTTAGAAGGAAGCAGAACAAAGTAAGACAGTTTAGAAAGTAACATGTGGAATATGTTACATGCTTTCAAAATTAAAAAGTAAGTAGCATGAAATAGAGCTTCATAGTTTCATATGCAGTCTTTTTTTTGTGTGCTACTATGTATATATGGAAATACTAATTTTTGATATTTAAGTCCAGAATAAAAAAGTTAAACTCAAATTTTCTTTTAAATGAATGAATGAATTCTTCCATTTTTACTCTTTTAATTTTGTCTTAATGTTTCCTCTTCTACCTCCATATTTTTTTCTGTTTCTATGAATCTTTTTTATGAATCAAATTATAAGATGGAAATGAATATCGATGCCAAATCATTTTGATTTCCTATTCATGGTCAAAGCCACTAAAACCAGTGGTTTTCAAAATACTTTATTGTCAAGGACTATGTTTGTATCTATTCCCAATTCTCATTTTTTATTTTTTGTACATTAGTGATTTTCCTCCCATTACCTATAGCCCGCATATTTAAACTGATGTGAGGCCAAATATGGAAAGTACCTGAGAAGCCCCAGGATAAGCCACTTCAGACCTCCTTTGGTCTTCAGTGGATGAACCTTCACTGGGGAAGGTGCTTTACCAAACCATAGGACAATGATGATTCCATTCTGTTTCAGTTGTGTTGAATATTGTTGGTAATATTTATTGTACTCAGTATTTATGGTCCTTTTTTATCTCTTTCTGTCCTCAAAGGAGAAGAAAGAAAGAAAAATCACTTCCGCCAACATCCCTTCAGTTGATTCAAGCTCTGACAGTGCCACAAATGAGGTCAAACTCAGTTTTTTAACCAAGGATGCATTTGAATTAAAGGTACAATAGATTGCTCTGAAACTTCCACTTTTAATTTATTGCCCACTTTTCTTTTTCTCTTTTTAAAGTAAATTTTCATGATTATCTTTTGTTTTTACATCAACTACATTTATCTGTACATATTTTTATAATATATTCCTCTCACTCCCTTCACTGAACAAAGAGGAAAGAGAGAGACAGAGATAGAGACTTGGTTGGGGGGGGTAGTGGAAGAGGGAAGGAGGGTTGGAAGGAGAGAGAGAGATCACAAGAACCCTCAGTGTAAACATCCACAGTCCAGTAAAACAAATACCCACATTTGCCACTTCTGAAAATGTATGTCTCTATCTGTATTTTAATTTTATCACCACTCACAGATGAATGGTGAATTTCACCTTCAGTCTTCTGGACATGTGGTTTATCATTGCATTGATTAGAGTTTAAAGTCTTTCCAAGTTGTTTTTCCCCATAACATTATTATTTCACATATTGTTCACCTAGTTCTGCTCACTTCCTTCTATTTTGAGTTCATAGACATCTTCTTAGTTTCCTCGGAAGTTGCCCATTTCATCATTTCTTATTATATAATGATATTAATATAGCAATATATTTCTATAATAGAATATTATAACAATATTAATATAATATATTAAGAGTATTACATTCACCTACCAAAATTTGTTTAGCCATTCCCCAGTATAAGTCCTATAAATATTTTTGGATATCTTCTTTGAGGTGTAAGCCGAGAAGTGACAGAGCTGGGTCAAAAGGTATGGATAGTTTGTTAACATTCTGGGAATAGTTCTATACTGCCTTCCAGAATGGCTGGACCAATCCTCAGCTCTACCAACAGTGCACTAGTGGACCTGTTTCCCCACAGCACTGCCAACATTTGTCGTTTTCCTCTTTTGTCTTCTTTGTCTAGGGGCATGAGATAGAACTTCAAAGTTGGTTTAATTTGCATTTCTCTAATTATTGACAACTTAGAGCATTTATTCATATGGTTGTTGATAACATGGATTTGAAAGCTGCCTGTCCATATATTCTTTGACCATTTATCTATTGGGGGATGGAATTTAGTTTTATAAATTTTAATTGGTTCCTTAAATATCTTAGAAACGGGACCTTAATCAGAGAACTTGACAAAGATTTTTCTCATTCCACTTGTTTCCCTTCTAAGTTAAACTACATTAGATTTATTTATTTGTAAAAACTTTTTAATTTTTAAATTTTGGGTAATAAAATTGTCCATTTTATCTTGTGTCATCCTCTCTGATGTTTGTTTAGTCATGAAATCTTCTCCCATGCATAGATCCTTAAGGTAATTTCTCCTTTAATTTGTTTATGATATCAAGTCCATGTATCCATTTAGAGCTTATCTTAGTAAATGGAGAGGTGCTAGTCTTAATTTCTATCACACGGCTATTCAGTTTTCCTGGGTTCAAATCTTACCTTGGTAACTCACTAGTTGTGTGACGCTGAGAAACTTACTTAAGCTTCCTGGACTTCTGCTCCTCTATAAAACAAGGGATGTCAGACTAGAATGGGCTCTGAGGTCCCTTTCAGCTCTCAATCTGTGACCCTATTTTGGAAAGTTCCTGATTACATCATGGACTTTCTTTTTGTTTCTATTCTTTCATCCAGATTAACTGTTTATACACTATGAAACCATGTTATTGACTTTTTCCTTTCTCTCTTCAAAGGACAAGGAAGCCTTTGACAAGGAATTAACCAACTTCTTTGCTGCTGGTCCTGGCCTTGAGAATGCCTTGATGATGGATATACAGAAATTAGAGGTACCATTGGTTTGCACAAAATCTTCTGTGTCTAATTCCTTCTTCTGTTTTGTACAATTTCCAAACCCGATCCAGGAACTAACTCACAAAGCCCAGGTGATAATATACTCCTCAGATCCCTGGCCTGGGCCCCCTTGGAGATGGCAGAATTTATGGTGCTTAGGTCTCCAAAGCTGCTTGTGTTTTCCCAAGAGTGCTAATGATTTTGCCCTTCCATTGACAGGTCAGAAGGTGTATGTAACCTTGGGCTGGGGAGGGAGAGAGAGAGAAGGAGAGAAATTGAGATGAGTCAACAGTGTTTCAGTGTAAGCAGAAAACCTTATGGGATCTTAGATTGGTGTGAGGTACTCCCAATGAGTAAATGCCCTTCACCCATGAAGATCAGCACCCATTCTAAAACTAATATTCTTAGAGATTTTGTTTCCTGGGGATCTCTGGGATTAAGAGGAATTGGAATGGAACAATCATTTAATAAGCATGATGCCAGGCACTGTGATTAGTATCTAGAATACAAAAAAAAAAGGAAAAAAAAAAGACCATGTCTGATCTCAAAGAACTTGAGCATCCTACCAGAGCCCAAGTTGATAAAGCTGATGGTTCCCAAGTTAGTTGCTATGTTTTCATAGCATCCTGTTTCCCAGACATTTTCCCTTTTTGTTCATCAATGTCTCTCCCAAATGATTCAGAGTCATTGTCTTCAAATTAAAGCAAGGGTAAGCATAATGGCCTCAAGAGACCCTGGGTAAACCACTTTAAACCTTCTTTAATTCACAACATGGTACAGTGGAAAGAACATCTGAGGTCAGAAGACCTGGGTTCAAACCTTACCTTGATCACTCACTAGCTGTGTGACCTTGGAAAACTTACTTTAGTTCCCTGAACCTCAGTCTGTTCCCTCCTTGTAAAATGACGGATGTCAGACTAGACCGGGCTCTGAGGTCCCTTCCATCTCTGGATCTGTGATCTTACTTATAGGAAAGCTCCTGACTACATCATGGACTTTCTCTCTTTTTGTTTCTATTCTTTCATCCAAATTAACTGTTTATACACTATAAAGCCATGTTGCTGACTTTTTCTTTTCTCTCTTCAAAGGAGAAGGAAGCATTTGATAAGATATTAACCAGCTTCTCTGCTGCTCTTTCTTTTTATTTTATTTTATTTTTTTAAGCAATTGGGTTTAAGTGACTTGTCCAGAGTCACACAGCTAGTTAAGTGTCAAGTGTTTGGTCAGAGGCCGGATTTGAACTCAGGTCCTCCTGACTTCAGGGCCGGTGCTCTACCCACTGTGCCACCTACCTGCCCCTCTGCTGCTACTTCTAACCTTGAGAATGTCATAATGACAGAAATACAGAAATTAGAGGTACCGTTTTTTTCACAATATCTTCTGTTTTCAATTCCTTCACCTGTTTTGTACACTTTCCAAACTTGATCCAGGAATTCACTCCCAAAGCCCAGATGATAATATACTCCTCAGATCCCTGGCCTGGGCCCCCTTGGAGATGGCAGAATCTATGGTGCTTAGGTCTCCAAAGCTTCTTGTGTTTTCCCAAGAGTGCTAACGATTTTGCCTTTCCATTGACAGCTCAGAAAGTATGTAACCCTGGGCTGGTGAGGGAGAGAGAGAAAGAGAGAAAGAGAGAGAGAGATTGAAATGAGTCAATATTACTTCAGGGCAAGCAGAAAACCTTATGGGATCTTAAGATGGTACCAGACCTGTGCTTATATTGGTATGAGGGACTTCCAATGAGGAAATGCCCTCCACCCATGAAGATCAGCACCCATTCTGCTTGCTCTCTTGCTCTCTCTCTCTCCCTCCCTCCCTCCTTCCTCCCTTCCTCTATCTCTTCTCTTCTCTTCTTTCATCTGAATTAAGTGTTTGTAATCAAGGAAGAGCAGTGTCAAACTCAAACCCATGGGCCTTCACTCCCAGTGAAGATTAAAACATAAATGGGAATTTTTAACAAAATAAAACATCCATAATGTTCATTTATGGCTTTCTAAATAAATGTGTGGCCAAAGGAATATCCTTTCCATTTGAGTTTATTGCTAATGTTATTGATTTTTTTTCTTTTCTTTTTCAAAGGAGAAGGAAGTCACTGAGATTAGATCCACCATAGTCTCTCCAGCTGGGCCTAGCCCTGAAAAATCCTCAACTGATCTAAAATCAGATTCCACAAACCCAGATGCAGACAAATTAGAGGTAAGGTGGTTTGCCCAGAATCTTCTGTTTTTAATTCATTCAGCTGCTTTGCGATATCACCCAATCCCATCCAGGAATTCACTCCCAAAGCCCAGATGATAATATACTCCTCAGATCCCTGGCCTGGGCCCACTTGGAGATGGCAGAATCTTCAGTCTCCCAAGCTTCTTGTGTTTTCCCAAGAGTGCTAATGATTTTGCCCTTCCATTGACAGCTCAAAAAGTATAGGTAACCCTGGGCTGGTGAGGGAGAGAGAGAAAGAGAGAGAAGAGAGAGAGAGAGAGACTGAGATGGGTCAACATTGCTTCAGGGCAAGCAGAAAACCTTATGGGATCTTAAGATGGTATAAGACCTGTGCTTATATTGGTATGAGGGACTTCCAATGAGGAAATGCCCTCCACCCATGAAGATCAGCACCCATTCTGCTCGCTCTCTTGTGCTCTCTCTTTCCCTCCCTCTCTCTCCTCTTTCTCCCTTCTTTCCCCTCTCCTGTCTCCCCTCACCTCTCTCTCTCTCTCTCTCTTTCTCTCCCCCTCCCCTCCTCCTTCCTCTCTCCCTTCATCTCTCTCTTCTCTTCTCTCATCTGAATTAAGTGTTTGTAATCAAGGAAGAGCAGTGTCAAACTCAAACCCATGGGCCTTCACTCCCAGTGAAGATTAAAACATAAATGGGAATTTTTAACAAAATAAAACATCCATAATGTTCATTTATGGCTTTCTAAATAAACGTATGGCCAAAGGAATCCCTTTCCATTTGAGTTTGTTGCTAATGTTATTGATTTTTTTTCCTTTTCTTTTTCAAAGGAAAAGGAAGTCACTGAGATTGGATCCACCATAGTCTCTCCAGCTGGGCCTAGCCCTGAAAAATCCTCAACTGATCTAAAATCAGATTCCATAAACCCAGATGCAGACAAACTAGAGGTAAGGTGGTTTGCCCAGAATCTTCTGTTTTTAATTCATTCAGCTGCTTTGTGATATCACCCAACCCCATCCAGGAATTCACTCCCAAAGCCCAGATGATAATATACTCCTCAGATCCCTGGCCTGGGCCCCCTTGGAGATGCTTAGGTCTCCCGAGCTGCTTGTGTTTTCTCTGAAGTGCTGATGATTTTGCCTTTCCATTGACAGCTCAGAAAGTATCCACAATCCTGGGCTGCAGAGAGGACAGCATGAATCAACTGTGTTGTAGGGCAAACAGAAAACCTCATCAGATGTCAGATGGAACCAAACCCTTGATTTTATTGGTGTGTGGGACTTCCAATAAGGAAATGCCCTCCACCCATGAAGATCAGCACCTGTTGTGCAACTGATATTCTTAGAGAGTTCGTTTCTTGGGGTACTCTGGGATTAAGTGAGAAAGGAAGTAGAAGAAACAAGCATTAATTAAGTACCTACTATGTGTTAGGCACTCTGCTAAGCACTTTACAAACATTAGATCATTTGATTCTCACAACACCCATGTGAGGCAAGTGTTATTATTGTCTCTGTTTTATAATTTAGGAAATTGAAGCAAACAGAGGTTAAATGACTTGCTAAGGGTCCAGAGGTAGCCTGAGGCTGACTTTGAACTCAGGGCTTCCTGACTCCAGGCCTAGCACTATCCACTACACCACTTAAAGGTTAGGTGACTTGTCCAAGATCACACAGTTATTTTCACCTACAGAACTTGAACCTGGATTTTCTAGACTCTTGCACAAAATATACAATATGCCATGCCTCCTGTAGGTCTAGGTTGCATCTAAAAGGAGGTGGCATCTTGAAAGACAGAGATGGTGGACCTGCTGTCTGCCCTCTGACCTCCTCAGACCACATCTTAGGAGAGTTGGGTTCAGTTTGTGCGCCATATTTAAGCAAGTACTTTGACTACCAGGAGACCCACCAGAGGAGGGTGGGGTGGAGAGTGATGTGTCAAGGAACATGAAGAAACATGGAGGAACATGGGGTGAGAGGAGAGAAGAGCTGATTCAGAAGGGACCTCATAGCTGTCCTCATCAATGTGAAGGGAGGCTCTTTGGAAGATGGATTTTACTTATTCTGATGGACCCAATAGGGCAGAAATAGGAGCCATCAGTGGGAGGGACAGAGAAATGGATCCAGCCCAGATGTCAGGAAAACTCATGAAGGAGCAGTCTTCCCAAAATGGGATGAGTCCTTCTCCCCTCCCTTACTTAAGGTCTTTATGCAAAGACTGAATGATAGCTTGAAATAGAGATGATAGAAAACAGTAGATGTGTGTTTGTATATGTATGTGAGAGAGAGAGAAAGAGAGAAAAAGAGAGCGGGAGAGAGAAGAGAGGAGAAACAGAGAAAAGGGAGAGAAAGAGATAGAAAGAGGAGAGAAAGAGAGAGAAGAAAGGGAGAGAGAGGTACAGAGAGAGACAGAGAGGAGAGACAGAGAGGAAAGAGAGAGAGGAGAGACAGAGAGAGAAAGAAAAAAAACACTGTCCCAGTAACCAAGGGAACCAAGCAGATCAGTTCATCGTTTCCAAAGCTGTATGGAGAGAGGTCAGGGCAGGGAACATTGAGAAAAGGCAATCTCCGCTGAGATTGCATTTGAGAGACCATTGACCCATTCTGAGAAAAGAGTTTCCCCAGGGTGATGGGCACATGAGAGATGAGTGACCAGTGGAGGGTCACCAAGTCTAGATGGTGAGACACAAGGAGGGGAAAGGAAGAGGGAGAAGATTTATTAACTACTTACTATGTGCCAGGCATATTATTAATAACTACTGGTTACATTATCCAGTCCAAAAAAGCAAAATCCCCCCAAATAATGTTTTACTCCTTGTCTTCAACCATATCGCCACTTTCCCTTATACAGATCTGAGTAAGTGACCTTCCCGATACCATCTGTACTGAATTGTCAGCTCCTTTGTGGAAAGGGGCAACATCTTGTTTACCTTTGCAAACCCCCAATGCCTATTAGAGAGAATCACCGGAACTGAGTTCAGATATCACCTCCAACTGCTACCTATGTGACCTTTAGCAAGTTTCTTAATATTCCTGTGCCTCAGTTTCCTTGTCTGTAAAACAAAGGCATTGGAGTAGATGACCCTGAAGTCTCTCTCTTCCAGCTCTAAATTGGTGTTGCTATGATCCTACATAAGAGGTATTAAATAAATACACTTGCATTCAGGAAGCCTAGATTCAAGTTTCAGCTCTGTCACATACTACCTGGGCAAGTCTCTGAGCCTCAGTTTCTTCATCTGCAAAATGGGAATCTTAATCATTGCATTATAAAGCAGCTGTGGTCTAGTGGGTAGAAAGTTGACCTTAGAATCATGAAGGCCTCCATTCAAGTCCTTCTCTGAAACATAATGTCTGTGGGACCCTGGGCAAGTCACTTAACTTCTCAGCACCCCAGAAAACTCTCTGAAACCACCAATTGCCAAGCAGGTGCTGAGATGCATTGGTAGATGAATAGAGAGTTCCCCAACTCAATGAGTCACTGGTCCACATAATGATAAGTCATCACAATAATCCTTGCACTATCTACCACAAGGTCATTATAAGGTAATAACTCTGGAAACTGAAAAGTAAAAACAAAAACGAGCTCTTTTTATTATCAGACAAAAAAACCACATCATACTTCACAACAGAGGAAAGAGGCCATAACTCTTTGACTTCCTGCTCATGAACCAAGCTGGTAAAGCCAGCATTTTCTGAATTATTTTCTTCAAATGAGCAAGCATTTATTACAAGCTTACTATGTAATAGTCACTGTAATAAACACTGGGGATAAAAAGCAAAGCAAAAATGATCTCTGACCTCCCAGAACATACACTCTTTTTGGGGGTTGGGGGTAAGGGAGGCAATTGGGGTTAAGTGACTGTCCTACGGTCACACAGCTAGTAAGTATCTGAGGCCAGTTTTGAATTCAGGTCTTCCTGACTCCAGGGCTGGTGCTCTATCCATTGTGCCACCTAGCTGCCCCCAGCTTTCCCTGTCTGGTAGGTGTGAAGTAGAACCTCAGAGTTGCTTTATTTTACATTTCTCTAATTATTAATGATATGGCTATTGTAAGCTTATATTTCTTATTCAGAAAACTGCCTGATGATATCTTTGACTATCTACTAATTGGGGAATGGCTCTTATTCTTGGTTATCTTATCAGCTCCCATGGGATGATTCCCAGATCTATACATCCAAGTAAAGCTGTATAGAATGAAAAGAGAAAGTTGCCCATGACAGGGTATCCTTTAGGATACCCGGGGTTAGTGGATGTGACCTAAACAGCAACAGGATTGAGAAGCAACAGACGGGAGGAGAACTAGGGGAGAACAGGGTCACTAAGACCTGGATGAGAAAACATCCAGAAGGACGTGGCCAACAGTCTCAAGACCTTTGACACTCAGAATGCAGAGAGGCTCTGGATGAGGATTGAGAAAAGGCCATTAGATTTAACAATAAAGAGATCATTGGTGACTCATTTGAATGATGAGGTTGGAAGCCATATTGCAGTGGGTTTAGAAGAGTGAGAAGAGGGACAGCTAGGTGGTACAGTGGACAAGGCACCAGCCCTGGAGTCAGGAGGACCTGAGTTCAAATCCAGTCTCAGACACTTACTTGCTGTATGACCCTGGGCAAGTCACTTAACCCCAATTGCCTCCCAAAAAAAAAGGAGAAGAGTGAGAGAAGGAAAAGCAGATACACTGAGTATAGACACCATTCCCAAGCTTAGCCATGAAAGGGAAGAGAGATATACAACGAAAACTAACAAGGATGGTGGAATCAAATGAGTTGTTCCAAAGTAAAAGGCACTTTAACTTTTAATGTACTGCCCTTTCATATGGACCAGCTAAATCTGCTCAGAGCTCTAAGAGAAACAGTTATTCCAAATCAAAGTTCTGAAACAACTGTTTATTCTGAATGTGACACCAGCACTATTCTATGAAATGAGAGAAATGTAGTGTATCTGATTCTAGACATAGGAGAATTTGGTTACTAACCATAAGCTAAGGGGGGAGGGAGTCATTTGCAAAGAAGACTCAGAGTCTGAACCCAGATAGATCAGACAGACAGACAGATAGAGAAAGGCAGAGAGGGAAGGAGGGAGGTATGAAAGGACAGGTTTCCAATCCCCACAATTAAATTTGAAACTGGAAATGATGGATAGAGCAGTTGCTATTGAAGAGTGAGTCCAGTTGAGCCAAGAAATATCTTGGAAGTAGAGAATAATAGAAGTCACTCAGTGAATCAGATGGTTTGGATGAGATATTGCTCCAATGAGATGTTAGCCAAGCACTATGTGGATCAGCTCAGGTTAACAGGGGAAACATCTGCTCAACACAGAAGCTATGTCTATCAAGAAACTTTTATGAACAGTTCCTAAGACAGAAAAAAGACACCAAAATTTACAATGACAGTTTTCTTCACTCCTAGGTCTCCTGGACAGGTTTTTATACCTGTGTCCTACCTCTCCCTCACAGATACTATGTTAATTGGAGGGAGAGTAAGACCTATTTATATGAAGATTGTGATGTACTTTAGTATTCATGCACTTGCTTTAATATGAATATCTGTGATATTATTTCTTTAGTCTTATTACTAAATAAATGGTTTTGTTTAAGATCTAAAAGAATTATCATTGTAAGTGGCTATTTAGTGTAAATGGAACTGCATCAGTGGGGGCTCAAAACTGAATTGATGAGTAGGGGGAGTATATTTCCTGACAACACAGGAACTCTTCTACCACTACCGTATATGTTTATGTCATCTCCTCTATCAGAATGGAAGCTCCTCAAGGCAGGAATTGATTCATTTTTTTTCTTTGTATCTCTAGCACTTAGCACAGTGTCTGGCACATAATAAGTTAATAGATACTTATTGATTGATTAAGATTTGGCTGACTTTTTTTTTCTTTTCACAAAGGAAGAAAAAATGTCTGAGAAAAAATCTTTACAGAAACCCAACAGCACCAATAAATCCATGAGCCCAACGAAGAACTTGCTTCAGGTACAGTTGCTTGCTCTGCATTTTCCATTGTTCATCCATTACTGGCCTTCTTATATCTAAACACAACACTCAGGGATCCATTCTCCAAGTCTGGATGCTAATGTGCTTTGTCCTGCCCTGAGCCCATCATGACATAGCTTAAGTCTCCTGAGTCCCCAGTGTTTTCCCAAGACTGTCCTTTCTAGATCCAGTCCATTAGCAAGGCAACAAAGACATGATCAACATAATAGGAAAAATGGTGGTCAGGTGTGAAGCATTGTGGCATTTGTCTTTGAAAGGACTCTGATAGCAAGTCCATTGATAAGCATTTATTAAGCGTCTACTAAGTGCCAGGCACTGTGCAACACTCTGATAATACAAATTTAAAAATTGAGATAATCGCTACCCTGGAGGAGTTTATATTCTGGGGTGGGGGGTTTTAGGAGAAGAATATGGACCATAGGGGTAAAAGGACAAAAAGTGACCTCAAGAACCTTGTGCTTTCCCAGGGGATATCTCCCTTTTCATTTATTTTTCATCAATCTCTGGACTACAACCAATGCCTGCAAGCTGAGGTGGCAGCTTGCAGTGGGAGAGGTCTGAGGAGTAAGCTTATTTAGGCCAAAGGCCTCACTTTGGGACAGTTCCTTAACACACCATAGGATGTTTTCTTGTACTAGCCATCTTGGATCTAAAATATGGTTGGCCTTTTCCCCCACTTTTCTCTAAGGTCAAAGAAGAGGAGAGTGAATACTCTAAAAGCTATTCCCAAAAGATTTCTCTCTTGGAGATAAACTCCTCTTTGATGGATGGACATGGATTACAGGTACGGGAGTTTGCCTGGAATCTTTTATTTGCCATTTATTCCCACACCTTCTAAAGTCCGTAAACCTCAGACACTTGCTGGCTGTGTGACCCTGGAAAATTGATTAGCCTCTCTTGACCTCAGTTTCCTCATCTGTAAAGTGGAAATAATAGCACTTAATTCCCAAGGCGGTTGTGAATATCAAATGAAATCATATATGTTTTGCAAATTTTAAATCATTAGAGAAATGCTAGCGATATAAACATGGCCCTTGCAAGGACTGGATATTACTGTACCTCTCCCCGGACTTGTCCCACCATTACATAACGAAGTCATCGGAACTCGAGTGTCTCTACTTCCTTTTCCCAAGAAGAGTCATATCTGGTCCTTCCATTGGCAGCCAAGCAGGGATGCCCAAAAGTTGGATTGCCAAAATCCAAACCCAAGCTCTAGGCATGCGACGAGACAAAATGGGATTCCAGAGTGCGATGTGCCAGACCCCCCCCAAAAAAAAATTAGGACAGCATCACAGATCTGAAGCAGGAAAGGTCCTCAGAGACCATCTTACCCCCTCTTTACAGAAGAGGAAACTGAGGCCCAGAGATATGAGGAGGCTTACCAAAGGCTACACAGGTAATTCATTGGAAGAGGCAGGCTTCAAACTCAGGTCCTCTGGCAAGACTTATAGGATTATAGACCTGGAGCTGGAAGGGACCTCAGAGGTTACCTGGTCCAATCCTCTTGTTTTACAAATAAAAAACAAGAGGGGTGGCTAGGTGGCTCAGCAGATAGAGCGCCAGCCCTGAACTCAGGAGGACCTGAGTTCATATCCGGCCTCGTACCAGATACTTGACACTTACTAGCTGTGTGACCCTGGGCAAGTCTCTTAACCCCAATTGCCTAATAAACCAAAAACAACAACAAAAACAAATGAAGTTACTTTCCTGAAGGAAGCCAGCTAGTACATGGCAGAGACTCTTCTGATTCCAGACCTAGGGCCATTTAAACAGCAATAAGAGGCCTAGTATCCTGTCCCTAGTGTATAGAATCGGAGGGGGGGAAGGAATCGTCCCCCTGGGGTTTGCCCTGGTCAAGCAGTATGTGAGACATTGTGTTCTTCTGGCGGTGCCCTACTTAAGGAGGGACAGGACAAACTGTAGATGGTCCAGAGTAAGACTGAGCAGGATGGTAACGAGGGGGCCGTGTCCCCCAAAAATCCACTGAAGGAATGAAGATGTCTAGCCTGGAGCAGTGAAGCCTTTGGGAGGCCATGTTAGCAATCTTCAAGCACTCAAAGGAAGGACATGATGCTTTCTGTTGTTTGAGCAGCACTCAGAGCAATGAATAGAAATGATAGAAAATCATACTGAAGTGAGATTTAAAGAGAAACTTTGAGGAATAAGATGCTGGACCACTAGAATGGGCTGTCTCAGTCTGGAGCAGACAGAAGCGTCCTGGGAAATATTTAACTGGCCCTCAAAAAAATAAATGTTTGCCTGACACACTTCTCAGTTTGACCTGCATCATTGACATCTCCCTTAAAGTTGAGACAATTGACAAAACACTAACTCAAGCCCTGACCTATAGTGTTTGCCCATTTCTAAGATGTAAATGTTCTCAGTGAGAATTTAACAATCAGCTCTCCTAAGCCTGTAGGAGCTGACTGCAGCACATGCCTGATAGTGGGTCATCTGCTCAGTTGGGATCTCCAAGCAGCATCTGCAGGGCCAGCCTTCAGGGATTTCACAGAAGGGATTCGAAATCAGCAGCAGCTTGGACCAGACGGCCCAGAGGTCATTGCCCAGTCTGAGATTCTGTGACTCTCAAAAATCACATAACCTTCTGGCCAGATCGGTTTTTCCTTTGCTCTCATCTAAACCGCAGCATTCCGAGGCTCTGCCCTTACTGGCCAGCACGGGAAATCAGAAGAGGGAGAGAGGCATCGTAGTCAGCATTCTGCTCGTGGAAGCAGGAAAAAGAGCCTCACTTGGTTACCTAGCTTATCTCTCAACATACCCCACTAAGAATCTGTCACAGAGGGAAAGGGCTCACGGGGATTCCCGGATCGTCTCTGCTTTTGCTCAGCTTTCTGGCTGAGGTGTTGACAAGCACTGAGAGCCATGAAGCAGAGTCAGGGAGGAACAGGGGATCCTGAGCAATGTCTCACCTGGAAACTGCTGGGATAAGGATGAGGCCATGGCATTGCATGTGAGTAGTCACCCTGCTACCCGACTCTCCTTCTTTTCCTGGGCACGACATTGTAGAATTTGATTCTTAAATGCAGGCCGACCAATGCAAGGCAATTCCATTTCCTTTTCCTGTGCCCCTCACAATTCATTGGGAAGATGCCAGTTAACATAGCCATGAAAATAAGCTCAAAGAATGTACTGGCCTGCCTCACCCGTCAATCAGGTGAATGACGGCAACTTTTCCCACCCACGTTACCACTACTTTACCTCTGTCAGGAGCCAGGAGGCTACCACTAAAGCTGAGTTAGCCAATAACAAGTGCTCCCAAGCATCTCCACAACAAGGAAGGAGAAACAGGAGAGGTTCATAAAGAAAAGGGGAAGAAGGGAGAAAAATGGAAGGGAAGGATGAGGACAGTAAAAGGGAAGGATAAGGAAGGGCCAGCACAAGAAAACTTGTTATGGGATAGAAAAAAGAAAACTTTACAAGCAGCAGAGGAGAATTATGTCTTCATCCCCTGAAATACACACACACACACACACCCCCACACAGAGCCTAGGTTGTAAACTTGTCTGAGGTTGAACAAAAACTAGAAGTATGGAAGATTGGGGCAGGGAGGTATAATTAATCCCACTTTGAACATACCAAGTTTGAGATACTAAAGAAGTACTCTAGTGGAGAGGTCTAGTAGGCAGCTGGTGATGTGGGAATGAGAAGAGAGAGACAGAGAGAGACAGAGACAGAGACAGAGAGAGAGAGTGAGAGAGCAGGTGCCTAAGGTGGTGTGAAGCTCTAAGTCACAGTGTAACATAATGGCTCTGGATTCAAAGAAACTTGGCTCAAAGCCGGCCTCTGACATTTACTGCTTGTGTGGCCTTGGACAAGTCACTTCGCTTCTATTTTAGCCTCCATTTTCTTATCTGTAAAATCAGTGGTGAGAGGTCCCTTACAGCTCTGAATCTATGACTGTGAGTTGAGGTGGTTAATAAACTGGCCAGAGGGTTCAGGGAGATGTTAATATGTGTATTGATGTTCCCAAGTAAAGGGATGGAGAGGAAGACATAAACTAGACCCTCAACTCAGAGTTTCATTTCAACTCCAGAATTCTGTGATTTTGTAAGTTTTTCTTACCCCGTGTATTTCAGATTATTCCACCAAAGGACACACATCCTCTGCTTGTGTTGCTCAATCCTAAGAGTGGGGGAAGACAAGGAGGAAGGTATGTATGTATAATGTATATTATTATTATTATTATTATTATTCAAAGAAGAAGGGTCTGGCAAGCAGCCATCTTTGAATTTCCTTTTATAGTAGACTTCTTATGTTAGTAGAAATTGGAGGCACCTGTTCCCCTCTCCCACCTTTCGACACCTTTCTTACCCAAACTCTACAGAAGAGCTAAGAGGGTGGGTGATTTTGTGAGTTTAGGCAGAGCTATTCTTAGAATAGAAGCCATAGTCTTGGTACCAGGTAGAGTCTGAAATTGGTCCATAGCTGCGAGGGATGTGAAGAGTAAGAAAATGCCGAGAAAAGAAATCTTAGCCAGACCAACTTGACTGAGACATTCCGTCTTTGAGAAGACCAGGTATTCATCTCATCAGCAAGAATCCATCTGGACATCTTTTTAAAAGCTGCTGGGCAGAGTCTGAAAGAGAATTAGGATTTTTAAGTAGTTTCTCGTTGCTGGTCACAGATATTGCCATGTTTGGAGGCAGAGGTGGTTGTGGTATAGACACCAGGAGTTAAGTTTCAAGACTATGTGAAAAAAAATGGAAGCAAGCTGGAACAAAGAGGGAAGGTTCTGGGGAGGTCCCTCCCAGTTCATGCAGTGTACGTGCAGGGACTAACCTGGGGTTCCATGACCCTTAAACACCAGCCTTAGGAACAACCTGAGAATTGGGACTTTCCACCTCAGTCCTCACCAACAACCCTCAGCCCAACTCTCCCTCCTCATTCCTGCATAGTCTCCTGATCCAAAGCCTGCTCCCGTACCAGGAAGGCCATGACGGGAAGTCACACCACCTAATATATAAACAGGACCTCCAGGAAGGAAGAGGCTCTAACAGAATGGGGACTCAATACTCTTTATTTGCTGATGACCTCTTTTGTTCTTGGCTGAAAGGAGAACCTTCAAGTCATAAGGTCATCAATCATTCCAATCGTCTCTTGGAATGGTGAAGCAGCCCTCTTCCACTTGAGAAGGTCAGGGTTCTAGAACCTGCCATAGGCTTTGGTCTGTCCTGTCCCTTCTCCTCACCATGTAAGTTGGAAGTGGACTAATGAGATCATTTGTCTGCTAGAACTGCTCCCAATGACATTTCCTTTCTGTTTCTGCTCTTCTCTCCCTTCTTTTTGTTTCTATAGACTCCTTCGGAAATTCCAATATCTGCTCAACCCCAGACAAGTTTACAACCTGGAGCAATGGGGGCCTCTTCCAGGGTATGAAGATGCCATCCTCTTCTGATGCTGATCAAGTTCTCTGCTCTTTCCATCCCATAATAAGCCATTTTCTAGTGTTCCATCCTTCCCTTTCACTTCATCTTTCCCTCCTATTTTTCTCCCTTCCTATCCCTTTCTTCACAAACCCCTCAGTTTCCACTTTATTTCTGGAGGTGCTCAGGAACATTTGTTATTGGCTAACTCCTTTTTGGAAGTAGCCTCCTGGCACCTGGCCAAGGCAAAGTAATAGTCATATGGGTGGGGGGGAAATTGCTGTTGTTATTTTCTTGATCGACAGGCAAGGCAGGCTGGTAAATTCCTTGAGCTTATGTTCAAGGCTATGTTAACTGGCATCTTCCCAATGTATCATGAGAGTCATGGGGAAAGGAAGCATGGGCCCCCTTACCTATGGGCTCATATTCTACATGTTGCACCCAAGTAAATATGCAAAATTAGGTAGCAAGGTAATTAGTCACATGCAGTACAATGACCTCCTCCTTATTCTGGGAGAGTGTCCAGTTTTCAAGTCCTTTACACCCCCACTTCCTGACTTTCATTCTTTGTCAACGCTTTGACCTGAAAGTTGAGCAGAAGCAAAGCAAGGAAGGAAACCTTTAACCTTTCTGCTTTATGTAGAGGTTTGTGGGGATTATAGGTTGACAGGGCCCTAGATGTGGGGCTGGAAGGGACTTTAGAGGCCGTCTAGCTGAACTTCCTTATTTTAAAGATGAGGAAACCGAGGCGCTTGCCCAAGGTCACGTACTTTAGAGGGGGGATTTTAAACCAAGGTCCCTGAACTCCAGAGTCAGGGCTCAGGGGACGAACTAGAAGTTACTACAGTAACTAAAATAAGGGTCTAGAACTGTGGGATCTGTGTACTGTTCTCCCCATGAGCAAAGGGGTTATCAAAAAAATGTGTCATATTCCTAGCTATGTGACCCTGAGCAAGTCACTTAACCCCCATTGCCTCACCAAAAGAAAAAAAAAAAGTGTGTCATAGCTGATGCCTCTCTCCCTATTTTCATTCCCCATAGAGGAAAGTAAGGAGAGACCCTCAGAATGATGTGCCTTAGACAAGGGTCCAAGGAAAGACTGATCTGAGAGCCAGTGCTCATCCACAGGGGAAACCCCATTTTCCAAGTTATATAAACGACAGGACACACCCACCTGGGACAGAGGCCAGCAGCCCTAGTCAGCAATGGGATACACACGTTTTTAACTACCAGAGGTACAGGGGGCCATGTAGCGAGAGATGGTGTGTTATAGTGAACAGAGCTCTGGCCTTGGGGTCAGGAAGCCCTGGGTCCTAATTGCACATGAGACACTGAGACACAAACACATCCATCTGACCCTGTGATGAGTCATCTAACTTCTCTAAGCCTCAGTCTACTAATCTGTAAAATGGGAATAATAATAGAACCTTCTACACAAGGTTATTGTGAGGGTCAAAGGAGATGACACACATAAAACATTCTGCAAACTTTAATGGTAGATGGATATATATGTGCATATATGTATGCGTATGTGTATATATATATATACATACACACATACTCATATATACATATATGTAAGTTACGATGACCAGTCAATGATGCTTTATTAAGCCCCTACTATGTACCAGGTACTCTACGAGACCTGCACTTTAAGAAAATTGGCTTTGGCAACTGAATGGAGGCTGGAGAATGACTGACAGACCCAGCAGCAGCTTTTGCAATAGCCCAGGAGGGGACGGTGCAGAATGGACAACAACTTCAATGTGGGGACAGTTTGCTTTCCCTCGGCATTTCCCAACAGCCTTAGCCACACGAGCTCCAAGGCCGCCGTGCTCCCCGGCACGTTGGCTACTGACAGATGTCAGCAGTATTGCTTGAGGCCTTGTTTACACGATAGCAGGCCAAGGCCAGTATGGTAGGGACATCTACTGGCCAGGACCTAGAACTGGTATTTTTGTGAGTCTGCCTGCTTTTGCAGGTACCCTAGGGATGACTCGATGCATACAGGCAGAGCATAGACACTCAGGGACCCCAGCACCTAGGCAGGGCCTGGCACATGGCAGCCATTTAATAAAAACACTCACTGGATAGAATGGAATCCCAATATGTGGTCCTGTGCTCTTACGTATTTAACTTCATAGGACCTTAGATCCAGGGCTGGGGGGGGCCTCAGAGATGCATTCTGGTCCGACCCCTTCATTCTGCAGATGAAAAAGGGGAGGCCCAGAAAAGGTAAGTGAGTTGCCCAATATTGCCCAGGTATTAATATCAAAAGTTGTATTTGAATCCATATAAATCCTCTCTACTCTGGGTTCAGCAGTTCGAAGAGCACCAGTACAAGGACTTCAAAAACAGCATGAGAATGATAACTCAGGGACAGACTAGACCTGTGATTTCATCACAGTTTCGGGCACTCCTAGGCAGGAAGCCCCTCTACCAATGCAGGTGGCCAATTTCTCTGCAATTAATGGTGTTAGCGATTCACCTGGGGCACCAAGAGGTGAACTTGTGCAGGGTCACATGGCCAGGATGTGGCCAAGGTGGGCTGTGAACTCAACCAGACCTTCCTCACTCTGAGGCCAGCTCTCTACCCACTATGGCACACTGCCCTTCAAGGCTGCAGCTTGCAAATGAACAGCACGTCATGGTATATAAAGGTTTTACTTCAATGGCTTTATTTTATTCTCAAAGTCATCCTGGGAGGTAGGAGGTACAGCACGACTTCCTACCCCTGTTTGGCCAATCAGGAAACTCAAATATCAGGGCAGGGAGAAATGAATTGCTCGAAGCGACCTCGCCTTTGAGTAGGTGCTAACGCCCAGGTCTTCAGGCTCCTAAGTGAAGTGGAGACACTCCACCATCACATAAGCTTCAGTGGCAACATACCCTTTACCGCTGACAGAGTGTGTCTCAGTTAAAGAAGGGAAATAATAAAAATTCTTTCAGCATTATTCTGTGAGACTTCTGCTATTGTCAGAAGGATCGTTGCCTTCTGGATCCAGGGGCCTCAGAGACCTTCTATTTCACTCGCATCCCTTCTTTTTACCAATGAAATAGAATGTGACCTCCATGACGGCAGGACTGCTTCAATTGTGTCTTTGTGCCTGGCACACAGTAGGTGCTTATTACATGTTTGCTGACTGGTTAGGAAGCTGGGCCAAGGGAAAATAAGCCACTTGCCCTAAGTCATAGGAAGGCAGTGAGCATCTCAGGTGGGTTTTGAACCCAGGACCTCTGAGTCCAGAGTCAGTGTCCTGCCCATTGCACCACATTACCTCAATACCATTCTTACAGAAGGTAAGCTCACCTGCCAACACTAGGCATTCAGTCAATAAATATTTATTGTGTTCTTTAGTCATTTTTATTTGTATCTGACTCTTCATGACCCCCATTTGGGGTTTTCTTGGCAAAGATACTGGAGTGGTTTGTCATTTCCTTCTCCAGCTCATTTTGTAGATGAGGAAACTGAGGCAAATAGGGTTAAGTGACTTGCCCAGGGTCACACAGCTAGGAAGTATCTAAGGTTGGATTTGAATTCGAGTCTTCCTGACTCCACGCTGGGCGCTCTATCCACTGCAGCACCGGCTAGCTGCCCAGACATTTGTTAAGCACCTGATATGTCCCAGGCACTGTGCTCAGTGCTGGAGATACAAAAAGAGGATATTGAAGAAGTCAAAAACTCCATGTGCTGAATTAGAGCCAGCCAGATAGTTCGGTGTTTTCCACTGCAGAAGAAGGGGAGAGGGAAGGCAGGCAGCCTGGACATCAGAGCAAGGGGAAAAGAATGATACCCTTACATAGCCGGAATCACTGCAAGATGCTTCTTACACTTAAGAAGCTCTCTCAGGACTTTTTAATTCATAAAAGCACCATTTAATTGAGCTGACTGGGCTACAAAATGCACCCCCCACCCCCACCCCAGTCTAAAAGGCTGGGTACCTTCAGTTTCTTCCAAGTTCCTCTCTTCATCCCAGGGAATACTTCTGGGGGATTTGGGGAGAGGAAGTGTTCACCTGGATCACCCAGCACCACACTGAGAATTGTCTAGTAAATCAGCCTATTTTGACTTTCCTTCTCCCCAGATTGAATTTTTTCCGTGGCGTGCCAAACTTCCGTGTGCTTGTTTGTGGAGGAGATGGGACTATCGGTTGGGTATTGGATTGTATTGGTAAGTGACAGAGCCTGGAAAAAGGGGATGGTGGTGAGTAGAGGGCAGTCAGAATTTGAAGAAAGAACAGGAAAAACCCAGCATGGACTACACATTCCTTCCATTACTAATATAATCCTAGCTCATGTTTGTAGATAGAGAAAGAATGGTCGCCTGTCCTGGTTAAGGAAGCAGAATAGAACTAGAAGGGGAAGGCTGGCTTCCCAAGAGGCCACACAGAAGGTGCCTGGAACTTGGGAGAGGATGGACTCGGGGAACCAGCTACCTCCAGAGAGACCTCACTGGACCAGAGATCTGGAGCTTGGGTCCTTAGCCTTTTTTGTGTGTTCTAGATCCCTTGGGCACCCATCTGGTGAAGATTGTGGACCACTTCTCAGAATCATGTTTTAAAATGATATATAGATTATATACACAATGAAAGATAGAGAATTACAAAGAAAGCCAATCATATTGAAATAAATATGTAATTCTTTTTCCATCCAAGTTCATGGATCCCCTGATATTTGTCAAGGGGTCCATGGACCCCCAGGTTCAAAACATTTCCACTGCTGGAGAAGAGACCTTAGAAACCTTCCCAACCCCCCTTTCTACAGAGAGGGAAACTGAGGCCCATAAAAGTTGAGTGAGATCACAAAATGAATGAAAGTCCCAATGGAGAAACTCCCTCTACCAATATAATCAACAACTACTCTGTGACTTAGAGTCTTAGAGATGCCCGAAGCCCTGAGCCTTGCCTAGTATGTGTAGGGGGCAAGATTTGAACATAGCCTTTCCTGACTCCCGTACCAGCTCTACCCATTGTGCCTTGCTGCCTCTTCTTCAGCTCCAAATAAGAACAATGTTCCCAGAATTGGAGCTTATAAAAGATAGATTGGGCAGCTTTGGGAGAGAATGGGCTCCTCCTTCACTGGAGCTCTTACAATGGAAGTCAGATGACCAATTATCAGGTCTGATACAGAGGATGATCAGAAAAGAGCTAGGCTCACCAGCCTCTGAGGTCCCTTCTAACTCGGAAGTTCTGTGAGTGCCCCAGCAGCACGGTGGAGGCAGGCAGACATCCCATGAGGAGGACTTCCATGGCGGCTGGCGGCTGGCGGCTGGCGGCTGGCGGCTGGCAGCTGGTGGCTAAGCCAACTTGGGGTTTTAGCTGAGAGGCTGCTCTAGTGTCTCCTTCCCCCAGGAGCCAAAAAGCAGAGACAGCATTGCCCTTTTCATAGTTGGTCATTATCTTCAGTGACCATCCTAAATAGTAGCTGGGAACCATCAGATACAGTTATACTCACTTTCATTCTAACAGACTTCCCATCCCAATAGAGAGAATTTTACCAGGAATCTACAAACTAAAAGGAAATAAGAGAGGATTTCCAACTTGGACCATCTGTTGAAGTAGCTGTGGAAATCCAGAACCCACTGTGTCTACTTTTTGTACTAAGTTAGCTCTCCTGTTAGCTTAGTTAGCTCTCACGGGTAACATGAATTAAGAGCCTGTCACTGGTAAGAGCCAGTGACTCACGGGGTTGCATCCACTGGCCAGACCTGATGCTTTCTCATATGAATGCTTTTTATTCCTTGGATTACAGATAAGATTAATTTTGTCAAACATCCGAAAGTGGCGATCCTGCCTCTTGGAACAGGAAATGACCTTTCCAGGTGTCTCCGTTGGGGAAGAGGTGAGGTTTTATTCCCATTAGGGATCTATCCCTGGGGACCAGGGTCTAGCCTAATTACGTTTATGAAGATGGTATAGAAAATTGCTCTGAGCACATATTTAAACTTCAGAATCATAAGTCTTAAAGGGGGGACACCCTTCTCACTATCACTTTTATTATTGTTATTATTATCATTATTATTGTTATTACCATCATCATTACTTTGTTTTTTTAATCTTTATGTTCAATAGAACTCAGATAAAGATGATCCTGAAACAAGTTGCTATCCTGTTACTATGCATTAATGTTTAATGTTTGATGGTTTTATTATTAATGATTAGTAATAATAAAAATTGGTGACAATTAGCTATCCACAAGCATTTATTAAATCTCCCACTGTTGTTCCAGTCACTGTGCTAATGAGGTTTAAAAAAAAAAACCAGTCCCTACCCTCAAAGAGCTTGAAGGGATATATGCGGTGATTGAAGTTAGGGCACTAACAACTGGGGAGACCAGGAAGAGCCTATCACTTGAAGGAAGTGTCCGTTGAATTTAGCCTTGAAGAGAGCCAGGAATTCCAAGGAGAGGAAACAGGGTGCTGCAATGTTGAGCACAGTGCACCAAGAGAAAAAGAGCACATTCCAGGAATGCTGAGAGCCTGTCCAAAGACACATGGGATATAGAGCATCACATACTGGGAAGAAATAGCACAGTTTGGTAGAAGGCACGAGGGGAAGAATTTCTAATCAGCCTGGAGGGACAGATTGGAGTCAGACTGTGATGGACTTTCAATGTCAAAGAAGAATTTGCACTTTACTCTGAAGGCAATGGGAAGCTACTGAAACTTGTTGAACAAGAGAGTGATTTATACTTTAGAAAGATCAATTTGACAGTTGTGTAGAAGACAGATTGGAGAGGCAAGAGACTGGATGTGCAAAGACCACTTCAGAGGCTATTGGGAAACGTTGAGGCAAGGAGTAGGAAGGGCCTGGACTAGAGTGGTGTAAATAGAGAAAAGGGACTGGATACAAGAGGAGGTGGAAATGACAAGAGTTGGCAACTGCTTGGATATTGGAAGGGTCAGAAGAGGGAGAAGTAGAAGATGACTCCTCAGTAGAAAATGTCATGCCACCATCACCATTCCCTGCTCAAAAAGTTTCAGTAAATAGCTGATGTGGGATTTGAACCCATATCTTCCTGACTCTACATCTAGTGTCCTCCCATTGTACCACACTGCCTCACTAAAGTAGGGCAGAATGTTCTCATTTGTGACAGGATTCGTACCATAGAGAGCTCCTATTATGTGTGGAAGTGGGTCAACTCTCCCTAACTCCTTCCCCCAGCCAGTGAATTCAAAGCCCATGTCATTATCTTTCTGTGGCATCCATGGTGGCAGGTGATGTTTGCCATTGACTCCATTCTAGTCAACCTGCATTTGATTAGTGCCTCCTATGTGCGCTGTGAGCACTTCCCTAGGTACCAAGCAAAATACGAAATCTAGAGAAGGCACAACCCCTACCTTCAGGGGATTTTCAGTCTAGTCAGGGAGTCAGATACATCCCTAGAACTCTAACCAGAAATTGTCACATAGGTAGCAAGTGACCCAAGCCTCTTCAAGAGCAAGGGACACACAGGTGTAAGCTCAGGTGAAGTTATGTGACAGAACCAAAGACAGATACAAGGATGTGTGTGCTAGGTCACGAGATTAGAGCTGACCTTGGTCCCGAACTGACCTCTTCCTCTTTCAACTAAATTTTATCGCTAAATAGATGCTACACTCTCGTATTTCTGTGTTGCTAAAGAATAGGCAAATATTAAGTGGGAAAAAAGAGAAAAAAGAAAAGGGGGGAAAAAGAATGGGCAAAGCTTGTCAGAGCCCTCAAAATTCATCATTCACTAAATATGGTGCCCTGGAGCAAAGTTCTAGTAGTACTTCTGGCATCCTCTACTCCTCTCTCTCACTCACCCCATATATCCATTATGTTGCCAAATCGTATCACTTCTGTCTTCCCAACACCACTCAGGTCCATCAGCTCTCCCCTCACACAGGCACCAGCCTGGTGCAGGTCCTCATCACCTCTCACCTGTGCTACTGCAATAGCCTGCTGATTCTTCTGCCTGCCTCAAGGCTCCCCCATCTCCAATCCAATCTGTGTCTCCACAGAGAAACCAAAGGGACTTCACTGAAGTACAGGTCTGACAATGTCACCCATCAGCTAAGTAAAATCCAGGGGCTCCCTATACCTCCAAAATCAAAAATCAAGTCCTTTGGCAGGCATTTAAAGCCAGTAATAACCTCGTCCCTCCCTGCTTCTCTCTTTTACTTCCCTCCCTTCACATATTCTATGATCCAGTGACACTGGCTTTGATGCTATTCCTCACATGAGGCATTCCATCTCCCAACTCCTTCTGACTCCCTGGCTTTCTTCAAGACTCACTTTAAATCCCACCTTCTTCAGGAGACCCTTTCCAGCACACACACACACACACACACACACACACACACACACACACACACACACACCTCCATACTTCTTTAAGATTGCCTTCAATCTACTCCGTAGTTATCTTCTTTGTTCCTGGGTATTTCCATCTTGACTCCCCCCTCCCATTAGAATTTGAGCACCCTGAGGGTGAGTTCAGTGTTTTTGCCCATCTTTGTATTCCCAGAGCTTAGCACAGTACCTGGCACATAATAGTTGCTTAATAAATGCTTACTGATGGATGAATTGATTAATAGTCATCAAGCATTTATCAAACACCTACTAGGTGTCAGATACTGTGCTAGCTACTAAGGATACAAAAGTAAAACAGGACCTGACCTCAAGGAGCTTACATGCCAACAATGGAGACCACGTATAGCTGTAAAAGTATAAACAGAATAAATATATGTTTGTTTGGAAGGGAGAGCATGAGCATCTGGGTGGGGAGGGCAAGAAGGGCAGTCAGGAAAGACTTCATGTAGAAGGTGGAGCCTGAGCTGGGTTTTGAAGGAAGCCAGGGAAGCTACAGTACATAAGCTGTTGCACATACAGAGATAGTCCTAAAGCATGGAATGAGTAAGAGGGACAAGTACAAGATGAGAAAGGTTCATCCTGATTACTTTCCACCGTATGTATCCTATGGGTATGTACTTTTTCCATTTTAGCCCCCAACCCAATTAAAATATGAGCTCCTCAAGAGCAGGAACTTTCTTTTGTCTTTCTTTATATACCCAACACTTTGCACAGTGCCTGGCACACTTAATAAATGCTTGTTGACTGACATTGATGGTGACATTGACACTGGTTGCATACCCTCACACTTACCACCAGACAAATTACCAAGGTCCTGAAACACAGTTTGTACAGCAAAGCCACGTGTGTTCAGGTAGCCCTTGAGGCCCATAACAGGTAGCCATCCCAGATATAGTGCCAATTCCTGAAAGTGTTGACTTGACAGCATTTTTATCGTTACTGTTGTTCAGTCATTTTCAGTCATGTCTGACTCTTCATGATCACATTTGGGGTTTTCTTGGCAGAGATACTGGAGTGGTTTTCCATTTCCTTCTCCAGCTCACTTTACCGATGAGGAAACTGAGGCAGAGAGGGTTAAGTGACTTGCCCAGGATCACACAGCTAGGAAGTGTCTGAGGCCAGATTTGAACTCAGGAAGATGAGTCTAGTGCTCTGTGCACTGTAGCGCCACCTAGCTGTCCTAAGGAATTTCCCTACTTACCAGTGTGAATTGGCACCTTCTCTGTAACTCATAGTCTTAAAGAGTTGCCTGGGGTTCTGAAAGGCTGAATAACTTGCTCAAGATCACAGGGCTTTACTGCAAGTCTTCCTGACTCACAGATCAGTCCTGTATTTGCTATGATTATAATAATAATTATTATTAATGGTTATAAACTGAGAGACAGAACAATAAAGAGCTGGGCTTGCCACCAAAAAGATTTGCCTCAGAGACTGTATGACCCTTAGTGTGTCATTCATCTCTCACTGCCCCAAGGAACCTTTTAAGATCCTAAGATGCAGAGGCGAGGCCAACTGCATTGGTGGAGGGAGCATCCTCACCCAGGAGTTCTCTCTCTCAATGATCCCTATTATCAGCTGAACAACTTGTCCATCAAACACAAATAAACAAATAAAATGAGATCAGAATCTTACCCCAAACTCTTCACCTTCAACAAGGCAGAACAAAATAAATTAACCAGCAAAAAGCAAGCAAAGAAAAAAAAAATTTATGTCCCTTTCTGGAATTGGCCTAAGTTCCACCACCATTGGACTTCTAACTTCCCTTTCCTTTCCTCTCCTCTCCTCTCCTCTCCTTTCCTTTTTCCTTTCCTACATAGCTATACACAGACTTTTTTTGAGTTCTCTCTGCCCCATGTCTCATAAGCCTTTCCTTATTTCCCTGAACATTTTATATTTATCATTTTCTAGCCTCATGATATTCCATTAGATCAATGTAACAATAATTTCTTCAACTATTTTAAAATTGTTGGGCATATAGGTTGTTTGCCAATTTTTGCCATTATAAATAAAAGTTATAGATTTTTTGTACGTGTAGTCCCTTTTTTTCTCCTTTCTTATGATGTTTTGGAGAGAGATACCCAGAAATGGTGTGACTAGATCAAAATGTATAATCAGTCTCACGATCCTTATCATGGCCATATTTTTCTTCAAAACATTTGCACCCCTCTGCCGAATCACCAATAATGTATTGAGAGCACTCTGTGTCTATGCTGACGGCTGACCTGTTGTCTTTGCTGACGTGTTAATTGTTTCTGCTGTAATGGCAAATATAATGCAATGCTCCCCAGGTTACGAAGGTGGCAATTTGATGAGACTGCTAAAGGACATTGAGCAAAGTTCCGAGGTGATGCTGGATCGGTGGCAACTTGAAATCATCACCAAAGACAAGGACAGTAAAGGGGACCCTCTTCCACACTGCGTGTTCAATAACTATTTCTCTATTGGTGTGGTGAGTTGATCTGGAATCTTCTTTCTCTTCTAATGAGAGAATGGCAGAAGTGAGGAGAGGTTAGCATCCATGAATGTCTCCAATTCTTTCCCTCTTGGCTTCCCATTCTGTCTGCTCCAGCCTTTCCCCTGACTTTGGAACCAATCTGTCCCTGTCAAACTATACTTGGCTTCTAGAGGTACACAGATTCCCACCTCCGCCCCCAATTAAATTGATCATAAACCCAGGTTAGTAAAAAAAAAAATTTTGTTCAACTAAGACAGGTTGGAGTTTTTCAAGACCAAAGCTTATTGAAAAGATAATAATATAATTTAAAATGATTCTGAAAATCTACAGTAATATAGAAATGAATGAGTTTGATTTAAAAGAAAAAAAAAGCAGTGTGGTATAATGGAAATAGTGCTGTACCAGGCAGCAGGAGCAGGAGAAACCAGTAGGAGAAACCAAGCTCCTTGAGGACAGCGACTGCTTCATTTTGATCCCCAACATATAGCACAGTGTTTTGCATATAGTAGACACTTAATAAAAATATCTTTAGTAGACTACAGGAGACCAGGCTTTCAACCCTAATGCTGATGCTTGCTAGCTTTGTGACTCTAAGCCATCCTTTTACTTTCTTTGAGCCTCAGTCTCACCAACTATAAAAATGGGCACAATCCTTGAAATATACAGGAAGGAAGAAGGAAGGAAAGAAGGGAAAGAGGGAGGGAAGGAAGGAAGGAAGGAAAAAAAGAGACTACAAGGGTATCAGAGGATAACAAAAATCATAAGACATAAGCATAACTGATATATACATAGATCGATTTCGGTAGTCACTTGGAATTCACTTCTCACGTGCTGTGACTAGTAAAAATCTAGTCAAGGGTTTGAGTTAACTCAGAGATCAATATCTAAGTTAACCACCAAGGGGCGCTCTACCTAAATCCACTGATGCACTTACAGCCATCAGTCACCCTCAAGATTTTTCTAATTTGCTGCAGTTTCACAATTAACCACTAGAGGTCACTCAAGACTGCAAATACCTGGTTTACTCCCTCTAAATATGGTGGCAGTGCTCCCAATTCCACTTCAGAAGTAGCTAAAAAAAAATAAATAACAACAACAACAAAAAACCACCCACTTTTCATTATCCTACATTCCCAATCTAGTCCTACAGATGAAATATTGATCAAATATTACAATATGAAATTTGCTTTTTTATATTCTCAAATCATTTCCCCTACCCAATGGAATATTACGCTCTCTTGCAGACCTTTCTTTTAGTACTCAAAGCTTCAGTGTCTGATCACATAACTTTCATAAAACTGGATTAAAAATGCAAAAGAAAATTTATTTCTTTCCCCTCATACCTGACTCCTCCAAGCTTTGTTTCAGATGATAATATTTTCCTAGCATGCACACCCTTTGCTGATAAGAAATAATGGGAGAGGAAGATTCACCACTATCCTATCTCATGTTTAAGGGTTCAGGTAAAAGAAGAAAGTGACCTTCTTCCCTCTCCCCTTAGCCCCAGCTCACAAGACTGCTACAGTCATAGTAGCTACTGGTCCTCAACTGATTTGGGGCAATGCTGGTCATGTCACTGTCTCTGCTCTTCACTGCCCAGAGGAATCCCCATAGTTCATCTCTCACCCTCCCAGCACCACCTGTTTCATGACAGAAAATCAGAATGGACAAAGAGAGAAAAAGGAGACAACAAAGCTGAGACAATGTCTATTTTATCCATCTCAGAGAAGTCTCCTTGGTGCCTGGGGCCAATTCCACTTCCCTGGTCCTCTCTCACAGAGAAGTTGGGACAGCCTCATTTGTTTGAGTGTATATAATGTTTCTATGTACATGTGTATATACATGCTACATGTGTGTTTCTGTGTGTCATGTATGTATATATGTATCTCTGTACAGACCTGATATCAGTCCATGTCAATGCAGCTTGGCCACTCCTTTATAATTTAGAGTCAGAGAGAGTTTCCTGGAACACTGAGACATGCAGCTAGGAGGGGTCACAGGCTGGACTTGAGCTCCGGTCTTTATGACTCCAAGGCTAGCCCACTATCCTCAACATCCTGCTGCCTCTTACTACTTCTTAATCAGAGTGGTTAAACTCAAGGCTCTGCCTGCAAAACCCAGAGCATGAATGAGATTAAAACACAATTAGATAATGTTTAACAAAATATAACTACAATATGACATTGATAATGTTAACTTGTGGTTTTCTAAGTTAATACACTGCAAGCAGGGAGGGATACATTTCTGCTTGAGTTTGACACCGTTGAATGGTTTCTTATTCTCCGTACATGCCCCAGGGGCTTCTTTCCAGGACTCCCAGTTGACCACTTTCTGAATAGCAACCAGAGCTCCCCTTTCTACTGGGCTGCCCAGGTCACAAAGCTGCCTCCCAGCTGAGCAGCCTAAAGCTGACTTACTCCCGGTTGCCCAGCTAGCAAGTGTCAGAGGCCAGACCTGAGGGAGGGTCTTCTAACTTTGAAATCTAGAGGGCTTCCTAGGCCAGCATGTTGCCTCCCCAATGCATGTTCTTTGTAGCCCTGCAGTAAGGTTCTACCCCAAGTTGGTCTGATCAGCCATCGTACCTTGACCCCAACATAGTGTTGTCATTTTGGTAGTCCTCGTGAACAAAGGACAACAACCAAGCAACCCTAAGTTATACTGCCTGTGTGACTCTGGACTGTTAATTTAAGCTCTCAGAGCTCCAGGCAGTGCTCTAAGGCCATACATTACAAAGATGGTACCAACCTGCGTCAGGAGAGGGCACTCTCTCGGAGTTCTCTATGCCAATAAACCACAGATCCAGTCTCCATGCTCTCCAATCTTCCTTTCCATCTCAGCAGCATTTGACACCATCAACCACCCTTTCCTCCAAACCACTTCCTCTCTTGGTTTCCATGGCAGGGTTCTCTCCTGGTTCTTCCTACCTCTCTGAATATTTCTCCTCTGCATCCTTTATCATCTCCTTTTCCTCCTCCTGTCACCTAATGGAAGATGTTGCTTTAAATTCAGTGTTCAGCATTCTATTTTATGCTTTTCTTTTGGTCACTGTATTCCACCTTAAGGTTTCATCTATGTCCCAGACCTCTCATCTGGGGTCCAAGTTTCATATCTCTAACTCTACATCATCTCAAATATTCATTGTTATTTCTCATGAATGCTACAGAACTCAAGTCCCAAAATAAAGGGGTCACCTCTTTTGACCCCCAAACCAGCTTTCCCTTTCCTATTTCCCTGCTACAATCTTCTCAGTCACTGAACCTTGAAATCACCTGTAAATCATCCATCTCCTTCATTCTTCATGTCAACTCAGAGGCCAAGTCAGTATGTCATACTAGAAAAAAATGCTGGATTTGGAATCAAGGCCCTAGGTTTGAATCGTAACTCCTTCTTATGTCCTGTGGGACTTTGGGAAAGCCAAGCATCTGGTCCCTGTCACCCTAAATTTCTTGATCTCTATAATAAGAATGCAGCCAGATAAGCCCAAGAGTCTCTGCTAGCCCTGAATCTATGATCTGATGATCCTATTGACTCTTCCTTCACGATGTCTCCCTCATGACTTCACCTCTCAGAGCCCCACACAACTCATTAAGACTGTAAACCATAGAACAATTGTTGATCTGCATTGGCAGGTGGGGCTTCCTCTCCAGGGAGTTGTCTATCAGTCAATCAACAATCATCTACTAAATACCCACTCTGGTCATTATTTCACTTGATCCTCACAACAGCCCTGTAAGGTAGATGCTATTATTTTCCCCATTTAACAGATAACAAAACTGAGGCTGGCTAGATGACTTGCCTAGGGTCACACAGTTAAGTAAATGTCTGAGCCAGGATTTGAACTCAGTTCTTCACTATCCCTCTACTCTACCTACCATGCCCCCTCACTTCCTCATTTCCAATTGGAGTAAATCTGTGACCCAGGGTACTTTATTCTTCATCATATCAAGTGATATTTAAAGCAAAGTGTGGGAAGGTTTGCAAGGCATTTTTAACAGTATCTCATCATGATCGGTTATGAACAGAACCGTGCTGTTCCTTAAAAAAAAAAAAATCAGTCACCTCCCTTTGCTCAAAATTCTCCTTTGAACTATGGAGTCAGAATTCACTAATCAATCGGTAAATCCAGAATGGATTAAATGCTTACCAGGTGCCAAGCTAAGCCTTGGGAATGGAACAAGCACAGATACGGAACCCCTTCCAGGGCCTTCTCTATTCCCAGTTCCCACCACCACACCGGTCTCACTGCTCCCCACTCTAGGCCGATGGGTTTCCTCAGCTGTCCCCCAAATGTACTGATCTCAGGCACAGAAAGAGGGTTGAGTTTGAAGTCAGAGGACCTGGGCTTCATTTTGGCCCTCTGCCTGGGAGGCCATGAAGGCCAACTCCCTCCTTGTACAAGGAAGAAAACTGGACCTTGTCCGAGGTCACCCAGGTAGTAACAGAGCTGAAATTCAGACTCAGATCCTCTGGCTCCAAATCCAGCCTTCTTCCCCTCTGACATTTTTTGTGCATCTCAGTCATAACAAGGTTCTGGAAGAAACCGAGTCATACCATCCTCATTTGTCTCCCTCTGTACCTAGTGCAGTGCATATACTAGGCACTCCATAAATACTTGTTAGATAAATTAAATAGGTACACCAATTAATTCATTAACTCATCAAGTGGCTGGTCTAACAACTGAACAATCATCACCTGAAGGCTTAAGAGCCAACAGTAGATTAGAAGTCATGGTTAATTAATCCTGGTGTGAAATTAATTTATCAAAGAAATACAAAGCCCAGCTGGTCCTCCCTTGGGGAAAGGACCCAGCTAAAATGCCAGAGCATTGCTGACTGCTTGTTCCAGCCAATCTGTTTGGATAGGTGGGTTTCTAATGCCTTGCATTGCTGACAGGCCAGTTTAATTGAACCATAAGCAGCACAGGCCAGAAGACTTCCGTCAAGCTCTCACCACTTTTCATTTATTTGTTTTGTTTTGATCCTCCAAGGCAATTG